AATATATATATAAATGTGTTTTACCTAGATATATTTGATGAGATTTCATGTCTGTCTATTAACGGTATCAATCTAGTTAAAATAATCGACTATTTCATCTGCTGTACACTTTAAATGGATATGAAAATTTGCCGGAGTGTGTCTATATGTATATATACACAACTACATAGTTTGTATGCAAATTCCCTTTAATTTATATATATATATATATATATATATATATATATATATATATATATATATATATATATATATATATCCATAATTATTTATGCATGTTTTTTGGTTGACTGAACAACAGTGATAATACAAACTACACTGAGAACATGCAAGCTGTAGAAAGGAAACTAAATTATTTATATACAAAATTATCTAACTAAAATGATATTTAGTCTTCAGTTTAATTTAAAAGGGTTCAGAAAATGATCAATTATCAAAACAGCCAATAAATAAGGTACTGTCTGATTTACCGTAACATCAAGTACAACTAGGTTGTTTTTGTACTGCATCAGGGACAGATTCATTTTAGTCCATTTTGTGTTTATGAATATCGTACAAACAAAAAGCAATATGAAGATAACTTCTTACATCTAAAATATTTCATTCTAACATGACCTATTTTTATCGAGGTTCCTTAAATTTATGAACGAAGAAATATCAAGTGACTGAAGGATTGGGGCTTCCAGTAAATTTTCATAAAGAATGTTAATAGGAAAACTAAAAATAAGCTAAAAAAATAAAGGCACAACACGAGATTTCAATCTTTCATGTCCAAGCCATTTGGATGCGTCGCAAATGAGATAAAGTACGTCAGAAGCTACAACGACGTGATTCTGTGATCCTCTTTGATGAAAATCGACCTTGCAAAATAGGGTCGATTGGGGACTGTCACTGATGCTATAGTTAGCAATGGTGGATATTTAAAAGAAGCTGCACCCAAAGCCTTGTTCAGTAGTGTATGAAGTGATAGAAGAACACCATGCTCTTTAAAGGTAGTCAACGAAAGATATGTTGTGAGGAGACACCCATCATGTCAATATCCATAGTTGATGTAAAAGTTAGTATAACTACTTCCGGTGGTTAGTAACTGATGAATGCCGTCTGATTAATGTAGAAACAATGTATCATAGCGGCTTGAAATGTTGCAGTAAATGGTTAAAAATAGAAAGCAGAAATTGCCGTTTTTGAATATCGTATGATCCATCACCTAACTGGACGAAATCTACATTGATTGCGTTCTTAATCAAATTACATTTTTACATACTTTCTGCTGATATTTTCACTTTACTACTTTTCTCTTTCTAATATTTTACAACAGTTTACAGATTCACATTATGTAATGGCCTATCATATCACACATCTTTTATGTTATAAACGTCATACTTCGTATAAAATAAATTAGGTAGCTTGAAGGATACAGCAATTTCTTTTTTAATTTGTGTATAAGAATACTATGGTAGGTAGTTAAAAAAATAATAATTTAGTCTTCAACTCCATTGAATGTACTAATTAAAATGTACAAACCAATTTCATCGAGTTAACCAACTGAGTAAAACAAATATACGAATAACAGTAAAACAATTTTAAAATTTAAAATTCTTTGTTGTCACATATTGTTTAAAAATTTATCTAAACTCTTCCAGTTATTATGATTAAAATAACTAAAGGAATTTTTAGAAAAGTAAGAAATATCAGTCTTTACTTTGGGATTAACTGTTCTTTTTTGTATCACAAGAATATGGATATTCTATGAAGTCTTTGGGAAAAAATAACACATAATGATCAGAGAGTCACTGTGAACCTTTTGGCAAACATTCCGTGTAGTGACACGTTACACCCACAATCAAAATGATAGCGAAACAATAAAAGCGATAAGACTTTATGTTTATGTGACCAATATCACTAGTCTAAGTAACTTGGCATAGTGTTCACTATATTGAGATATCAAGGGGTTGGACGTAGTAGACAAAAAAATCTCGAACGAAATCCTGCTCCATACTTTTAGTACTTGTTTGATATGCCTTGCTGACAAGTGCCACCATCTAACAAACTTAGTTGTTGTTTATGTATTAAAATAAAACCATAATTTTGTTTAACTCACTTTACACAATCGTTTCATTTCAATTCGATTGATGTCACTTGAATTATTAACACTTTTGTACTAACATTCTTTTTGCTATATATATTTGATAGCGTATATTGGATATTATTAAGTTTTTACTGAACATGAATAATGTATGATGCAGTAATAATTTCTAGTGGCTTTCAAATGACTAGAAGTCTTAAGAAGCTATCGAAATTAGGTAAATCTTTATAGAACTGGTTTCTATAATCATATAAGCTTGAGTGTTATCACTGAACTGTAAACTTACTAGTGTCTATTGGCAATGTTTTGAATGTTACCAATGTCGTACATGACATGCAACACTTTAAAAAATAACGGTGGCCGTTAAGATAGTATGGAAAAGCTATTAAAATATATCAGTAACATTGATCTCTAAAATTTCAACTTGTAAATGTTAAACTTGAAAGAAAATTATTAGAATAACAGTCAAAATTATTCAAACCATCTGTGCACAAGACAACTAGTTAGCTAGAAACAATATGATAAATTCTGTGTTTTTTCCTACCAATTAGTTAGTAGTTCATAAGTAAACATATATAAATCAACTATATCTTCCATAAGTCAAAAGTAATCTGAAGTCATATTTATAGAAGTAGCGAAGAGAAAATGATCATGACCATATACTAAACAGTTCAATCTAACGTCGCAATATAATGGTTTTTATTAGCGTATAATTAATAATAAACAGACACAAACGTTGTTGTGAACATGAGTGAAAGAACCATTAGCTAACATGAAAACTTCAAATAAACACATTCACTGACTGTACATTCACTATTATATGTGAGGCAGAAACCCTAGTCGATTACATAAAACCAAGTCGAATGAAGTTATAACTATATAAAACTTCCAGATGTAGATTATTTTACTTTTGTTTCAGAAATCTTAAGTCTGATTGTAAATATTAAACTGGTCAATGCGATTCACTAGTTACAATATAAGCATATTATTGACAGAAAAACGAACGATGCTTATGTAACATTTTATCTGTGTAATAGTAGGACTTAACTGAAGCGCTAGAAAAAAATTTTGATTGTTATTAAGGTGATTGTGATAAAGATAACTGACAAATTAAGCATTCGTTTTGAATGTATGAGTTTCTTAAAAAAAGTTATGTGGTATGAAGTATGATGATCAACTGATTCATTCTGAGTTTTGATCGATAACAAAGGTATGTGTTCATATGCTATATATATCTGTGTACTACCAGTCAAGTGATATGAAAACATGTTTGATAAATAAATTTGAAAACGAAAAATAGTTAACCAAGCAAATGTCAAAAATTGTCTTGACTATCAAAGAAAATTGAATGGTTAGGTGTGCAGATAGAAGCAGCTTAATTCTAATTACGAAGACAAACATAAAGGATTTGTGCTTACAAATATCTCATTCTCTCTCTCTCTCTCTCTCTCTCTCTCTATATATATATATATATATATATATATATATATATATATATGAGGAATTTTCACATAATTATGTTGTAAATGTTGGTTAGATGTGGTCGTCAAGAAGCGCTGGATCTATGTCTCATGCTAGTTAGCACTCGTCAGCAAGGTGCATCTGTAATCTTGAGGGTACCGACGCTCACTCAACCTCATAGTCAGACTTTATCAACGAGCTGTCAGGGTCGCCATTGATCTTGTGTAGGACTGAGATATCTGTGCATAGTGCACGCGATTTTGAGTCATTTAGGCTAGTGGCCATATTGCATTTCGAGCGACGGAATTCCATCAAAACTTAGAAGTACTTGATATACATGACATTGGTCACAACTCAGCGAACAATCAATTGAAAATAATGAGTTTATTCACAGGATAGATAAATCGTGCTCACGCCTAGATAAATTGTCAAACAGCCATACTGTTAGCAATTGTTTGTACAATCAACTGTTGATATTCAAAACAGAATTCTGATCAGTGTTTGATGGAACACGCGACAAAATGTATACTCAGAACGAATGACCAGAACTCACTGGTGAATATCAGCAACGAGGTGATACATACACCTAAGAATAGAAATAGTAGCATTGCTTATACAAAACGTTGGATGCAGTTTCAGAGTAATTCGACTTTTTTCGACTTTTCTTACATGATTATGAACGATCTTGAAGGCATTAAGTGTTTACGTTATGGAAGCACAACATTATACACCGTGTTTCTTAATTTTGTAATGAAGCTTTTATGGTTTGTATTTAAATGGTCCAATAACCTGAATCAACTTCATACTACTCTTAATTGAAAATAATCACTACGAAATTGGATGTTAGTACTACTATGAACGTCATTATACTATCGTGATTTGCCACAATGACTTATTTCATTAAAACAGTGAATATTCCTCGTCATTTGAGACGTTTTTCAATGCTTATTAACAAATAGTTTGTGGAAATTAATTTCCTACAGATGTAATTCTAAACTATTCCCTAGACTGTCAGGCACAGTCTTAGCTTAGCCAAGGTCAGGACAGGTAAGCTAGGACTCTGTGCTCAACAGTCTATGGAATAGTTTAGAATTGTATCTGTAGGAAACTACTTCCTACACAGATAGCCACCCATACAATATAGTCAACGTCTGCATTTTTATTTTTCGGTTGTTTTTTTTACAAAGAGTACTGCTACTTCATTACTACAACAAATGAACCTAATTCAAGTGAACAAAAAATACTAATACACAGGTGAAAATGACTATAATGCACACTTGATAAAAGAATGGGTGAACATCAGTTAACACCATTTATCCCCATTACTGAAACGTGATCTGTTTAAAATATCAATAAAACTTAAAAGTGAGAAAAGTGAAAAAGCCCTACTATATATCAGTAACAAAGTTGTAGTTAACGATAACTGTGAAGAACAACCAATAACGATAATTACCTTAACCAAATGTTGATTAACCCAATTGGTGAAGGCTTTCTTTTGTATTGCATCACGTTCATCTAATACAAAAATTTTAAAAACAGAAGGTAAAGACTCATATATTTCCAAAGAAGCATACACATTTGTTTGTATATAAAACAGTAAATGCAGACAACAGTGGAAAATAGGCAAATACAAAACCAATTACATTCATACGTTATAGAGGTGGACTTTATTATTTTCTGAACAATTTTCGATTATTAAAACGGAAGAAAATGTAACGAAGTAAACTATGGTCGAGTGATGTCTGTTCATGAGACCAGAATATAAAAGTATCCCACTAAATGATTTGAAATCGAAGACAAGATCATCAGCCAGGAGAACAGATATTCAATGTGATAAAGTGCAAGTTCACATACAAAGTAGTAACACGAAACAAACATGGTAAAATTTCATAGGCGACTGGAGGAAATCAGTTTGTACGTCTCCCACCTTCCAGTCAATTTGTAAAAACATCTTTGTATCAAGTCCTATACTGTTTTTACCATTGATTTTCCCAATCACTAAACATCACTAAATCAACAGTCAATTTTCGCAACTCATCCTGAGTAGTTAGGATCTCAGTACTTAATCTCCGTATTCTGTGTAGTAGCCAAAATAGGGAAATCATGATGCACGAAAATGGTTTAGTCTGTATACATACCAAATGACTGTACCTTGTATGTAGGGAGTGTTCAGCGGTAGGTGATCAAAACGGGTTAAATACTAGTCGTCGCAGATAACTTGGGTGTGAGGCTAAGAAGGTAAGGCTGGACAGAAAAACATATTCATGGGTAGAAACATATTTATAACATGGTTGGATAAACAGTTTAAAAACACACCTCATGTACTCTATCCCATAAAAACACAGATTACACTTTACCAAGGGATTTCACCTAACCGGGATTGATTGTACATTATTTCAACAACCTAATGTATCTACTACGGTACCTCCACGTCGCTGATGTTAAAAGCTCTCTGAAGATCAGTATATAACTATTGTCAAGAGAAATTATAATTGTAATTCCAAAATCAGAAAAAAGTAAGGAACTCTGAAAAGCAACGACTCGATGAAGACATGAATTTAAACGTATATATACATATATACAATATATGCATTTGAAGACGACACGATGTTGCCTAATTGTTTGCCAGGACACTTACTCAAGAAATATAATGGTTTCAATGAATGAATCGGATAGTATCAAATGAGCGTATTAAGAGATGAAAAACCAAAGATGGAGCACGACAAACTCAGAAACAGCACTAAATTTACGTGAGCGATTCGGCCATAAATATGTATTTTCCTTGTCGTAAATGTATGAGTTGTAGAATTCTCTTCACAGTAGATTCGTTAATTGCCGATTTTAAAAGATGGAGGACTTGATTACACGGGGAAATTTGGATGAAATGTAATACGATCAATTTTTATTTGCTCCTAAAGTTAGCAAACAAGTATTTATACTACACGGTGGCTGAAGGTTATCTAGCACGTAGCCTTTTCATCATGTTAGGAATTGCGTTTTCCGAAACCAAAAGTCCTCCAAGAAGACAAGAGGCGTTTTCCAGGATTGCAGATGGTTTGATTAGCGAGTAGTCGAAACTAATCAAAGCTAGCGAACCGTACTAAAGCTTGAAGTCGGTAAGAGCATCACAACCCGTACAAGCATTTTAAAGGTGCATGAAGTTCAAAAACATGAGACCATAAGCGCTTTAAAGTGCTTAAAGTGCAAAATTCGCAAGTATATTAGGTCACACAGTGATTCATTTTCTTGCAAATGAAGCTTCTGATATTGGAAAGTCGACTTAGTTGATATTCCGACAAAGATGCGATTGTACGCAGCATAGTAAAATTATTCATAATTTAATTGAATGGCTGACGTTACCTGCGATTTTTATTACTGCGCGGTCTGCAGGGTCCAATCTTAATACGCTAAGAGAAAGATGAACTTTATCGAAGTTAACACTGTTTCGGGAATAGTCGTTTAATAAACTGAGAGTTGGCAGTGATACTGGCGTCACGTTGTTTGTCCCATTTAAATGGATAAGCGGTTGAGAGAAGCAACGCAGATTATCAATCTTGTCTGACATTATTATAAATACTCATGAGTCTGTGCGAACACGAAGTAGCGCACCTCGTGTATCTGGCGCAGTTGTGAACAAGTATTTTTAAAACATCCAAACAGTCAGAAAGCTCAAATGGTTCAAATGATTGTGAGCGGAATGTCATATGCTTCTTTTTGGGTGCCTTACTCATTTAGTAACAGTGGATCGTCTATGCATTCAAATACCCTTTACTGGAATCATAAGTAACTCCGCCTGTAGCTCTTATAGGGTTGCTGCCGGTCCCAAGCCCGGGTAAAGGAGGAGGGTTGGGCATGGGGTTAGCGTCCCCATCCCGTAGAAAACTAACTCGCTAAAAAAACGCTTACCAGAAAAAATAATCCAAACCATTTTAACTCTGCCCTGGGAGTTAGAAGGTCTTCATTTAGAAGAATTATGACGCTTCATGGTGAAAGCCGAGTTCCTTCGGAAGCCACGAGGCCGATGCCCCTTCTAACAACCAGAGCAAAAATTTTTATAGGTACATGGAACGTTCGAACAATGTGGGAAACCGGGAAGACCAGTCAAATATCAATGGAAATGAGGAGATACATCTTAGCAGTACTGGGAATCAGCGAAACCCACTGGACCCAAACTGGACAGAAAAGGCTAGCTACGGGAGAGATGCTGCTATACTCCGGTCACGAAGAGGACAATGCTCCACACACTCAGGGAGTCGCTCTTATGCTGTCCAAAGTAGCACGAAATGCACTTGTAGGATGGGAATCTCATGGATCCAGAATCATCAAAGCATCATTCAAAACAAAGAAGGAGGGGATCTTAATGAATATTATCCAATGTTATGCACCCACCAATGATAGCAACGACGAAATTAAAGATCAGTTCTACGAGCGGCTGCAGTCAATCATTGAGAAATGCCCAAGAAAGGACCTAACTATTCTGATGGGAGATCTAAATGCCAAAGTCGGAATAGACAACACTGGATATGAAGATATTATGGGACGACATGGACTGGGAGAAAGAAACGAAAATGGAGAAAGATTTGCAAATCTATGTGCATTCAACAAATTGGTCATAGGAGGCACAATATTTCCACACAAGCGTATACACAAGGCTACATGGATCTCACCGGACCACACTACAGAGAACCAAATAGATCATATTTGCATCAACAAAAAATTCCGAAGGACAATGGAAGATGTGAGAACCAGGAGAGGTGCTGACGTAGCTTCAGATCACCACCTAGTTGTAGCCAATTTGAAACTGAAGCTAAAAAAGAACTGGACAAGTGGACAAACAGCAATACAAAGGTTCAATACAGCCTTCCTTCGAGATACTGTCAAACTCAATGAATTCAAGATAGCTCTCAACAACAGGTTCCAAGCCTTACAAGATCTACTGAAAGAAGAAGAAACTACTATGGAGGACAATTGGAAAGGCATCAAGGAAGCATTAACTTCAACGTGTCAAGAGGTTCTCGGTCTAAAGAAATACCATCATAAGGAATGGATCTCTATAGAAACACTGGACAAGATCAAAGAAAGAAAGAACAAGAAGGCAGCAATAAACAACAGCCGAACACGAGCAGAGAAAGTCCAAGCGCAAGCTGAATACATAGAAGCAAACAAACAAGCGAAGAGGAGCATTAGAGCCGACAAGAAGAAATACGTGGAAGAACTAGCAACGACGGCAGAAAAAGCTGCTAGAGAAGGAAATATGAAACAGCTTTACGATACAACGAAGAAACTATCAGGGAAATACAGTAAACCAGAGAGGCCGGTCAAAGACAAAGAAGGCAAGCCAATCACCGAAATTCAACAACAGCGTAACAGATGGGTAGAATACTTCGAAGAGCTCCTGAATAGACCGGCTCCAATGAATCCAGTGGACATCGAAGCAGCACACATAGATCTTCCTATAGATGTCAATCCACCAACTACGGAAGAAATTAGAATGGCCGTCAGACAAATCAAGTACAAGAAAGCAGCAGGACCCGACAACATACCAGCTGAAGCACTGAAATCAGACATCGAAGTAACCACAAGCATGCTTTATCTTCTATTCAAAAAGATTTGGGAGGAGGAACAAGTGCCGATGGACTGGAAAGAAGGACACCTCGTCAAGATTCCAAAGAAAGGAGATCTGAGCAAATGTGAAAACTACAGAGGCATAACACTACTGTCAATACCAGGGAAAGTCTTCAACAGATTGTTGCTGAACCGGATGAAGGATGCAGTAGACGCCCAACTTCGAGATCAACAAGCTGGATTCCGTAAGGATCGGTCGTGCACAGACCAAATTGCAACACTACGGATCATCGTCGAACAATCAGTTGAGTGGAACTCGTCACTATACATCAACTTCATTGATTATGAAAAGGCATTCGACAGTGTAGATAGGAGGACATTATGGAAACTTCTTCGACACTACGGAGTTCCTGAGAAGATTGTCAATATTATCCGGAACTCATACGACGGACTACAGTGCAAAGTAGTGCATGGAGGACAGCTGACAGATGCATTCCAAGTAAGGACCGGAGTCAGACAAGGCTGTTTACTCTCTCCCTTCCTCTTTCTTCTGGTGGTCGACTGGATTATGAAGACCTCAACATCTGAGGGAAAACACGGAATACAATGGACAGCTCAGAATCAATTAGACGATTTGGACTTCGCAGATGACCTAGCCCTCCTATCACGTACACACGAACAGATGCAGATGAAGACAGCCAGTGTAGCAGCAGTCTCTGCATCAGTAGGCCTCAGCATACACAAAGGGAAAACTAAGGTCCTCAAATTCAAAGCGGAGAACAGCAATCCAATCACACTTGATGGCGAAACTCTGGAAGATGTAGAGTCCTTCACATACCTGGGAAGCATCATCGATGAACAAGGAGGATCCGATGCAGACGTAAAGGCGAGGATCGGCAAAGCAAGGGCCGCATTCCTACAATTGAAGAACATATGGAACTCAAAACAACTGTCAACCAATATCAAAGTGAGAATCTTCAATACGAACGTCAAGGCAGTTCTACTGTACGGAGCTGAAACTTGGAGAACTACAACAACCACAATCAAGAAAGTACAAGTATTTATAAATAGCTGTCTACGCAAGATACTCAACATCCATTGGCCGGATACCATCAGCAATAGCCTTCTGTGGGAGAGAACAAACCAGCTTCCAGCTGAAGAAGAAATTAGGAAAAGACGATGGAAATGGATAGGACATACATTACGCAAATCGTCAAACTGCATCACGAGGCAAGCCCTAACTTGGAATCCTGAAGGGAAGCGGAGAAGAGGAAGGCCAAAGAACACATTGCGTCGGATAATAGAAGCAGATATGAAAACGATGAATTACAACTGGACGGAGCTAGAAAGGATTGCCCAGGACAGGGTTGGATGGAGAATGCTGGTGAGCGGCCTATGCTCCTTTACGAGGAGTAACAGGCGTAAGTAAGTAAGTAAGGAATCATAAGTAAATAGAAGTGTCCGTAAATTAATAACAAACGTTAAACGTAAAACTGTGCTTTGTAGAACTAAAAGATCAGTTTTTCCTTGAGATCTGTGTATGCGTGGTAGTTAAGGTAAAGTTCTTGGTGTGTTCCCTTTGAAACGGAAGGGCGAAAGCATTAGTTTTCAATATACATTCCTAAGACCTGAATCACTTTAGAAGAACAACCAGGACCACTACTTCAGAAGACAAACTTTAAAAAAATATAATTCCCCCCCCCCAAAAAAATTTTAATGATTTTCCTAGAAATATTATTCGAAACATATTAAAACGATCCCATTTACTCCTATACAAAGTTGGGTCAACAGATCAGATTATGTCTATTGGGATGCGTCCTATATTCGAGATTCTTTCCATGAGATCTCAACTCGTGCCAAGGAACGCTAACGTCACACAGAAAGGCCTCCCAATAATCTTGTAGAATTGGAAATTTTACAGATTAAATCAGCAATAGCAAGATATGCTATTTTCCATAATCATCACACAGATATCAAAATAGTCGGGAAAGTCTCTACCAACTATAAAGAAACGTGAGTAGCTGAAGCGTTCCACATTATGTTGAATCCCTCTGCCCTAAATGGGAAAGAAGACCTGGATATTTATCCAACTCGTACCATTTATCCAAAAAACTGTATATGTTCCTATTTATTTGGCTGCAATTAAACGCAACTCAATTTCGTAAATGTGCACTTCAGCTTAGCAACCAATCAGAATGAGGTGGGAACTATTATATCCACCATTTTTGTGAGCGATGGCGGTCGGCTTTCTTCGTTCTGTGCTCTGTTCAGTTATTTCTTTTGTGTAGCTACAGAATTTAATGTTTCAGTTTGCTAAAATGCAGAAGTTGATGTAATACTCTGAACGTTGGAGCAAATTTTTTTCTCATTTTGCTTTGTTTTCTGGGTTTTGGCTGCTGCTGCTACTGAAGTCAATGTATTTCTTCAGCCAAGCTGGCTAGTCTTATCGGTTTTGTTTTGACTTGTTTTCGAGATATCCAAAGACGAAGCTCGTTTTTTCAGCTAAAATAATTGTTGCTGCCGCCTGCGACTAACTGTCCGCATCTTCGTTCCTAATAGTCCTTTATCGGCAAAATGAAAGGAAACAATCACCGGCTTTCAATTTTCTTCAGTACTATGGACAACACTATCCCACCAAAGAGTCAAACTAATACTGAGTGCCCAGCAGTAGGGGATAACAGTATTGTTTTCGAAAGAACTCAGACTTCCAATAACCATAGATGAAGTCACAGATGCTACCAATCTATTGCAGAGGGTTTGTTATGAAAAATATGCCATATAGCAGTAATAGAGCGGTTTTACTCATTACATTGTGCGTTAAAGCAAGCTTAACATTGAAAAGCCGGAAATGTGCTATCAGTGTGTAATGTATGTTTGCTGTTTTGGCCATAAAATGAAGCCGAAGGGTCATGATCAGAGAATAAAAAGGTAGTTAACTATTGTTAAGCTCACTTTCTTATAGATCATATTTCACCACTCGCAAATCTGTTTTTTTTGCGG